ATCCAAAACTCCCCTAGAAGAGCCAGGATTTTTTTTTTCCCCTAGTCTGTTACCGAGGCAGGAAATGGCTTCAAAGTTTGGTCCGGATCTGAACTCTTCTTGAACCTTCTCATTGCAGCCAATATATTTTTTTATACTCTAGGCTTCCATAGCAATTGTCCCCTTGGTACACGATAAATCCTGTTTTTTGCAGGAGAAAGACAGGAGATGAGAGTAAGAAGAGGGGATCAGTTTTCCCACCCTCGGCACAGGTCCATGAAGACACTTGCTCAGAACTGTAAGAAATGTCACCACCCAGGAGATGCACTTAAGCCCAACATTGGGGCAAGGGATATTTCTACCTCACTCAGAAAAAAATGTTATCTTTTCCGTTAGCTGAGCATTCAGCTGAACTGGGCTTGAGGTAAGACTTTACGAGTGCAGGCAAAGATCTGGCGGGAGAAGGAAAGAGCACAGATCTTTCCCTGGGGGTCACTTGGGAAATACCTCCCATGTACTGCAGTCCAGTCCAGGCTGAAGGCGAAAAGCTTGTGCCTCAGAAGTGTTTTTGTGAGAGCTGGGATAAGCCCTTGCTGGAAAGGATCATTTAGCCATATCCCAAGAGGGGATATGTCACTGCATGAGAGAGCTCTCATCGATAAGCCATCACAGGAGAGCCAGGAATTTTCACTGGTGACTCCCAGGAGCCCTTGACATCTGCAAAACAACTGCGCAGCAGCATTTTGATCCTCAGTCCCAAATCTGTCCCACAGTCATCTAACCACAATATCTTTGCACCTTGGATCAATTTTTGACAACCTCAATTAAAAAAAAATCCAGAAAAGAGACGGTTTATTAGGTGGCTCTTCTTCCCATTTCGAAAACAGAGGCAGAGCACTCTCCATTATACAGCCCAGTTTACCTTAACAGTGCTTGACGGGACAAAATGAAAACAAAAATCGTTGGTTACTTCAGCAATTGATGCCGCTTCTCTGCAAATACTCTGGGTCTTCTGGGATTGCAGCAGTACAAGAGAAGTATTTGGCCTCCTAGAGGACATCCAGCTCTTCCTGCCACACACGTGCACCGCAGAGCTTTGAGGCATGTTGTACACATAGCTTGTGTCAGAGGACTGGTCCCCTCCAGCTATGTTCTTGGGGCCTAAGTGTTTTCTTTTGTGGGACAACACTGCCCTTCAGCTTTCTGAAGCACTACCTTGATGAGTCTAGTGATAACAGAAGTTCTCGGTGATGGCCCAAATTATAGGAACATGTTGTTTGTGACTGCACCATTAGTCAGGGTGCACTTCATTAGAGCTAAGAGTATAATTAAGCAATACGGCAATCCAGAGCATGTTTTACAAGTCCTGAACATGTCTTTGGTGGAACAGGGAGGAGCTAGTTTGAGGGCTGAGTAACTCCAATGACCTCTAGTGACTCAAAGAAAATATTCATGACCCTGCAAAGCAGAACATCTTGTCAATAATAAAAATGTAATTGCAAAGCCAAGAAGCTAATGTGTGTTTAAATAACTGTACTGCAAGGTATGAATATGCACAGTCAGTTGACCTACAGCCTAGACAAGTCCTTCTGCTGGGCTCCCAGGAGCCCGCACACATCTGTGGTCATGGCCTTTGGGTTGGACCTGGTAAGAGGTCCTGGGCAGGCTCAGACCTCTGAGCTTGCAGATTTCCAGCACTGTTTGGTTTCTCTACTTGACTGATCAGCTGTCTTTTCACGTTAAAGTTTCCCAATTCTGTTATCTCTGTTTTCCTGGGCTTCTCTGTGCAAATTCCCTGTGCAATGCTCTGCTCCCTGCATCTCACTGGTATGGCCAACTCAAGCCTTTTGCTCCCAGATGAAATGTTCTTCCTCTGCCTTAGATTCATTTTGCCCCAGTGTCAAACTACATCCTGAACATTTGACAGAGAAACCTTCAGAAAGATATCTCTCTTCTGGAGTACATCTGTGCGTACCCATGTGTTTCTCAGTGAGGCAGACACCTACTTAACACTTGCATAACACTACAGCACTGTAAGGGATGCTCTGTACTTCTGCCTCCTTACCTGATCATAACACTTCCCAATAGCCAGCTTCTTGCACACTGGTTTAGGTGCCTCCCCTCCCTTTCCTCATTCCCTCAATAAACCAAATTAATACTATTCATTTTTACTGCTGAAAGCTGCCTCTGCATGTTTGGATGAGAAACAAACTGTACCCACCAGAAGTTTTTTCGTCACTCAGGTCATCATCCTGAATTTATAATTAATTTTCTCAGTTGTCCGAGACATATAAGTTTCCCAGCTCCAGAAAACACATCTGGGATTATTTTTGTATCTCCTGCTACATGTCAGTCAAAAGCAGTAGAGTAGACACTTCTGGACCCATGTGGCAATAAAACAACTTTCATGGCATGGGTCATGGAAAACAACACAGCCTAGATGAAGATGTGACAAACGAGGGAGCAAGGCTACATACAAACACAGCACAGTACGTACTTTCTCCTAGCTGCTTCCCTACTTTCCATGTGCTTAAGCAACCAAGCAAATACTTTTTTAGGTTGTCAGGATGTCAGCAATTCCTCCCCTTACATCCTTACCAAAGACCACTCCAGCTCCTCACGCTACCTACTTACAAGGTCTTCAGCATCTCTTCCCTCCTGCATTTCCAGAAGAAATGCAGTTTCTAACAGTGTTTCCAGCCACTTTGAGGACCTTCTCTACAACCACATGGCTCATATGCAGAATGGGGGAACACCAGATTCATATGCCATGTGAATGAAACGAGCTCAGGGCCGCAGCTGCTGTGTGAGAGGAGCCGTGCAAACCACAAGCAGGACTGCCCAGCCACCTGTGCAGACAAGCACGAGAGTACTCGCAACTTTGTCCCTGAACTGAAAATGCAATTAAATGTGCTTTCCTTCAGTCAATTTGCATGGACACCTGGTTCTTCACATCTCCATTTCTGTTCTCCAGTTCTCCGCAGGCAGATTTTCTCAACAAAAATTAAAAAAAAAAAAAGGGGTTGTGTGTTATTTCTGCATCTTTAGGAAGTCACATGAAGGAGAACTATCACAGGAGAAGCAGTCGTGTGCACAATCACATGTACCTGAGTGCAACAGTGCCCCAACTAGAAATTAACAGAAATGGGCCACAATGGCTAAGCTCAGCATATGTCTGAATATTCAAATGCCACATTCGGACATGGAAAGAAAGGGTTAACGTCTCTTCTAATAAATCATGAGCATCACGGTTTGCTCCCAGTTCAGACTGCAGATCAACAGTGCTCTAGAAATTCTAGCTCATCATGTGCTGTCAAATCAGTTATTTAGCACACGCTGCTGAGAAGCGTTCTAGATACACTTATTTAATTGCCTGCACATCCCAGTGTTGGCAACCAAAGTACCTGCCTGTCACTAGCAAGTCCTGTTATCAATAGTTACGTGCATCCTCAAATGCTGATGAGAAAATCTCTGACTTCTAGGACCAGCTTTTACATTCAGGCCAGCAATTTTTAATTACTTCAAACACAAAATATGAATTTAATAGATTAAGCATACATGAATGCCTGCACTGTACTTGCACAACAGAGGTTGTAGGTTTTTGTGCAAAACCAGAACATTGCTTTAAAACTGGAAAGTGAAGTTTGGAAGAGAATAGGTTACATGCATATTTATCCAGCAAATTAAACCAGTTCTTAATTGCTAAAGTATTTTATTACAAGCCTATCCATCTGTTACCAACCTCATTTCCACTAAATAAGTACTCCATACAAGCTACTGGCAGCCTTGCATGCCTGCAGACAGACCCAGAATCATGTTGTTCTCTCCTATTAGGGGAAAAAAGTGTAATACAGAAAAGTGCATTGTGTGTGTTTGGGAGGAGACGAAAAGAATCAAATACAGACTTACTGAAAAAAAAATCAGGGATTCATTCTGTGAGATACTCAGCATTTCCTAAAAGGTACTCAGTTTCTCAGGTTTCTACTAACATTAGCAGAAGCAGAAGCAGCACCTTGTGTCCCAGACTCGGGTCTGCAGGGATTGCTAATGGCAGGAGCTTCCATTTC